ATCACAAAAATCTGCTCTCCTGGTCGGAACCGCGGAGCAAAGGTAGTGCCGGTCGCGGGGGCGGGCATACAGTGTCCCGATGATGGTACGGAAGTGGGGGGGGGAAGGTTCGATCGATAATTACGTTTTAAAGTGGTAATTGTAATTTAAATGTTTATGATTCAATAAAACTATGAAAAAATAGGACGTAGATTATTTCATAACACAGAGCAATATCTGGCTCTATTTTTCGTAACCAGTACTGTATTAACAGACGGTTTTAACATTCTAATACATTATTTTACCCAATGTTATGTAATATAACATTTTTAGTTCGGCCCGGATCAATAACACAGGCAACAAAATGAAAAAAGTTGTAAATGACTAAAATAAAAAAAAGACCCAAAGATTATACACATATTTCTCTATGTCAACGCGCTGAATTCGAATCTAGAATTGCGCCATGACCCTTCAGTTTTTTTAAACGCGAAAAACCACACTTGACATTGCATTTTTTTGTTTTCGGGGGCTGTCAGACCCAAGACTGAACACATGTTTTTTTATGTATGTCAAAGCGCTGCATCCGAAGCCAGATTTGCAGTTTTTTTATTGAAAAAAAAAGAAAAAGAAAAAAAAGAGGAAATTTACAATTCATAATTTCAAGGTGGTTTTTCGCGATTAAAAAAAACTGGAGGGTCGTGGCGCAATTCTGGCTTCAGAATCGGATTAAGTGCGTCAACATACATAGAGAACCATGTATAAAGTCTTTGTGTCTGACAACGTTATTTTATTTATAACAAAATTATTTTGTGTGCTTGTGTAGTAAATGTTAACAGATACTCGGGAAGGGTCACGTGGGAGAATTTGGACTCTATGCTTGATTAATTAAACAGTACGGTTTTGTTAGAGATTGTTGGCAGTCCTCGTGATTTTTCAATTCCGTTTCCATAACCTTCTATCTGCAAAAACCGTTTCTTATTTCATGATTGCAGGCTATCTATAAATTCTCTGATATTATTTTCATCACGCGAATTTCTCTGAGTTGCAAAGCTGCGTAATATGTCTGTCGGTTGAACCTTTTAACATACTGCAGTTCTTTCGAACACATTAGACACTTCGCCATTGGCACGGTATCTACAAAAGGAAACCATTCTTCCTTAACCGAAAGAAAATTAACGGGTGTAGATGGTCTCCCACTCATGTTCACTGAAACATCGGCAAAGGCCCACTGGTTTTCGTCATCGGCGACTGACGTCTGCCCCTCCCTTCCTCTGCTCGCACCGCTTCTCCGAGCGAACGTTCGCGGAGGGGAACGGAGCTACGACGTCATTTTTCCGCCAGTTGGCAAACTCTGGTAACCTCATATTTCAAGTGTCCATTGCTGATAAACAATGTCTGATGAGACAAAAAATTGCACCTGTTCATGGAGGTGACATGGCAAAATATTTTTAAATTTTGAGTTGTAGTGTCAGATTACCTTCTTTTTTGCATGGAATGACCCATTGATTGACGTTCATGGAGAACGTACTGTGTGTAGGTCAAGCACAATCTTGCATTGGTGACAATTTTGCCTATGTCGCACCTCCATTCCGTCTCCAAATTACCATACCACATTCCTTACGGCGCAAGTTCTTATCTTCTCTTTACTCATGAGACCGTAAATTCAGTTTTCGAGCCAGCACCTTACCACTACTATCATCCTCAGAGCCCCTGCATATGAGTTGCGTTGGTTCCGTTGACGTGCGTCGTACAATAAACACCATCTTATACGGAACGGCACACGAGCACTTCGACTGTTCCACATAAGATTGGGTTTATCTACAACGCAACGCTCATGCGCAGGGGCTCTAAGATCATGGATAGTGATAATGAAATTCTAGCCAATACTTTTGTTGTGGAGCTACTGGGGTGAAAACGGGACATTCAAATCCAAAATATGATCGTGCCATTGTCACCACCAAGAGAATAATTATAGGATAGCAATGTTTCCACTTCAGGGAAGATATTTAAAAAAATATGATTAATGGTAAGAAAATACACCACACGTAATCGCCTTCCACATATATTGTAGGGTTACCGTTCAATCTTTTCCCAGTGGAAAATATTTTACCAACAAAAGGGAGGGCATTCCCTTGAAAAGGACATTTTACATTTTCTTTCTTCATGATGTATAGACAATGTAGTTATCAATTCCCAACCATTGCAGTCCTTAAATATCATATATCCCATTGGACTTTGCTCAGCAGAAAGAAACCAATTCATAGTTAAACAGTATAAAACCAAAACTAACAATATGTTCTTACAGACTTTTTGTTGCCTCAATACTTTTCACTTGAAGACATTTTCTTCAGCAAATCATACTTAGAAATGATATATTTATAAAATTGCAAGCAATTCAAAAGATTTACTTTACAGTAATGATACCTTCCATTGACTCAATATATTAATGAATTAAGTGCTTTTAATTAATTAAATTACTTTAAAATTATGCCAGTATTATTTCAATTCAGCATGACAAAGACAAAGCAATTTCATGTACATGTAAAAGGGATGGAGGGCAGTGTTGAATAAGGAAGACAGGTCTTTCTTTCAGGGGACAGATGGCAACCCTGTTTATTGTGGACCGTTTTGAACAAATTTGCCAATTTATAGTAAACGAGCAAGTAATTATATACCAATTTCCTTAAGCGACTATGAACAAATTAATAAGGGAATGTTTTTATTACTTTATCATTTCCTGTCAACCCTTCAGATTTTTTTTTTTTTTTTTTTTTTTAACTAACAATTGACTTACTGTGTGATAGGACTTCTGTGACGATGGGAAGACACTTTTACTTTGTACCATGGTGAATCTTCTCTTTCAGGCCATTTACAATACACGCTATTCATTTCTCCATTGTTTTAAATAGTTACTAAACAAATATCTATAAAATAATTTTTAAAATGAAAAGCAGATTGAATGAATTTACTTCTTTGCAGCTGATATTGTCTTTACAGATACCGATTTCTTATTTCTTTCATCTATTGTGGTGTTTAATTGCTCATCTGTATAATTTCTAAATATCCTGCCATGATATCACAATTTTGTGACATATTGCACACTTGTTTTAACCAAAGGAAAGAAAGAAAAGAAAAGGGAAAAAGAAAAGATCTTCTCTTAATAATTTACTGTTATTACACAAAATAATAAACAATATAAAATAAATTAACCACACAATTAATATAACAAAATAATTATAGAATACTATATACTTATAGAATACTAAGCTATGTCTAAAACCACAAAGTTGAATTGTACCAAAACACTTTTTGACGACCACTGTAAAATACGTCACAATGCACATTCAACTAGTCACCAGGACTGATCGGAGAGTTGAGAAAGCTTCTGTATGAAATCATATCATTATTCTAAATAAAATTCTGGAGTAAATGACTCTTCATAATTTTTCAACATATTTTCAGGGCAATAGAAATCACGGACTGTATTCAATGTTACAACATTGTCCCGTTTTGTGATAGATATCTTTTAAAGTTGTTTAACGTCAAAAACAGTGTGTGGCATGTAATGTGGAAAAGTGTATTTTACGTATTCTCCAACCATCCTCACTAATTGAAAGATGAAATCGGTCATTCAGCTTGAAATAGAGCTTTACTTTGTACATTCCATACTTACTTCTTTTGTAAAATAAAAAAATAAATTAATGCACAAACCATGTTTAATGATGCAGTGCCTTTACTACCTAATATGCTTATGACACATCTTCCAGCCAGGGCCGGATTTACCTACTATGATACATTTTTTATTTAATAAAGATGGAGCTATTTTTTCAGGGGGGGGGGGGGGCGCAACACAATTTTGTGCTTGGGACCCCGCACAACTTAAATCCGGCCCTGCGGACTTGCCACATTCTCTTGACAGTTGCCAGCTATCGCCGCCCAATGTACATTTTTTTGACATTTTCTTAATTTTTCGTTTTACTAATAGTAGAACGGAAATGTTATTTTAAGAATCATAAAAGAAACAGTACAACCTCGTCCTAAATTGCAATTTTCTTTGAAAAATTTGGAGCCTTATTCAAGAAAATGGCGCTTAAACGCTACTGCAAATTCAAAACTTGAAGCTCTTTTCCGAACAAAATATTTGAGTTTTGGAAAAACTTCATTTGAAGTACATTAACTCACAAATACAATAGTGTTTTCAAAATGATGGAAATGTGCATATTAACGGCGTGAGGGATCTTTCAAAAATATTACATTAATGTAGTTTTTGAAAGAAAAAAAAAGCAACAAAAAAAATACCCCGAAGTCAACTTTACGTCATATTAAAACGTACATTAGTACTATTCGTTCGAAATGTTTGATGCTGTTTCTGAGAAAAAAGCGTTTGAGTGTTTCTGACAATGCGGAATTGAGAAATTGAAGGAAATAATTAGGAATTAAAATGGTAACTTCATGTACATTTTCTATATAATTCTCAGATATTTCCCAGGTGTGTTTCCTAATTCGAACTTTCAAGGAATGCCCAACAATTTCAAACTCATTTTCTGCTTTATTTAAAAATTTTCTTTCTATGATTAAACTCAAAGAAGGCGTTACAAAGTTAATATTGTATCTTCTTGAATTAATAAAGGAAAAGTCAGATGACAAAGATTAAATATTGATTTGATGCCTAAGTTATGTAGTCCTAAAAGCATGAAGTGTTTACATTTTGAACAAAAAATATTCACTTTTATTTTTGAAAACAAGTGTCTTCAACATGTAGCCCCCTTAGAGTACACATTGTTTATGCACCATTATCGAAGATTAAAATGCAAATAAAATTTATTTTAATGAAGAAGTATTTACTACCATTGTGTATACTACAAATTGAGATTCACAGGAACTGTTGTGTACCTATTTGATATTATGTAAACAATTCTATAATTTAAGCCATTTTAACTCTACAGGTAGGATTGGTTCTTAGAAATACGGAATGGGAAAATAATAATAATAATAATAATAATAATAATAATAATAATAATAATAATAATAATAATAATAAGAAGAAGAAGAAGAAGAAAATCTTAAATTTTTCTGCCCTTGGCAATGCTTTTTCATTGACGAGATTATGAATGTGACTCTAAATAATAAAATACTGACAAAAAGAGTATTAACATTGTTAAGAGGACATAATCAGAGATCTTGCCAAGGAAATTCCAATATTTCATTCTGGAAAAGAACTGCTAACAAATATTTTTTAATGCATTTCTATAGTATTTTTTTTATTTAAAGTATACACATAATTCAAATGTAAACATGAGTTTTAATGTTATGAGTGTTTGTGTACGTGAGGGGGAAGAGGGAAGGAGGGCAGAGAGTATGCCGGGGGAGCAACAGAAGCCCAATGTACTTATATTTATTCATTTTCCCCCTAACAAGGGCATCAAAGATACTGACATTTTCCCTAATCTAAAGAGGTATAAGAGAGGTAGTTTGGGGATATTATCTTGTTAAAAACACAATAAAATAATTTCAGAGTGGTTGTAATAACGTAGAAAACCAAAGCCACAGTAGCCGTTCACCGACAACTGTCAATGATTATAATAGTCAAGTTGTTGATGATCTTGTGGCAGGTCGCAGATGCCTAATTGTTGTTGAAATTATAAATTGGAAGTGAACATAAGTGTTAATAAAGCTCACACAATCAGAAAAAATTGGAAAGATGAGATCCCCTGTTTCTTAATTGAGGGGCATAGAAACATACAGAGATATCTGATAGTTTGTTCTCAATTGCTTTAAGGAAGGAGTAGGACAAAAAGTACCGGTAAGTTTCATATATTACAGTCAGAGAAATGCTTGACAACAAAACAGAAGTTTAACAGTTCATGTGCACATAACTGTTAGTGCGACCACTTCATTTGACTGGTGAGCAGATTTAAAAGCTACATATCTGCCAGAAAAAATACATTTTCATTAAAACAGATTATGCAAAAAAAATAAAAACTGATTTTTAATTTTAATTTTATCAGCCATAAATAAATCTATAAAAATTCTAATTTATATCTCAATAACCCACATACCAAATGCACAACATTCCTTGAGAATCTGTAAGTCTCTATACAATTCTAAACCTACTTTGAAATTGTTTGATGTCAAATATACTTTTACAATACTTTCAGGGGCAACAACTTTTGCACATGTTACTGTTCTAGAGGAATACTGAAGCAACAATGTATAAATACGTTTTAATTTTAATGCGTTCCTCACTTGACCCTTCCCATCATGATCATGCTACATTCTTCCCTACATTCAATTCTTGTCCTGCCGCAATGCCAAGAGCATTGCATAACCACATCAAGTAAGAAAGTTGTTTGGGTGTATCCAAATTTGCAAAAACATTTTGGGACTATAAAGCCCATATGGTTTTTCTCAGCTGCTTGTAACTATTCATGCAAAATTTGGAAGTAATCATTCCAGTAATTGGAAAAATTATGGCAGAGAGTCATCAAGTACTTATGAAAGTCAAAAAAAACACAATGTTTTATATCTAAGATAAAAAGCCTACTCCACAACATTGGCAAACACCCTATTTTACTTGCCACAAAAAAGGTTTATGTGACACTCGCAGGCTTTCAAGCCCACCTCAAAACCTTGCTAATTCTCATTTTTTGTTCTTTTGATAACAGTGAACATACTGCTGTAGAGAAAATATTTGCTTAACGCAAAGTGACAGATTACACAGCTGAAAAATTAAAGTGGAATTTAAAAAGAAAACCACATTGATGCTTCACTCATCTCCTCCATTTATTCTATTATTATGAATGTCAAAATCATCATCGGTAATGGTATCTTGCGTATCATCATCATCTCCTTCCTCATCATCCTCTTCTTCTTCGGCAGACACTGTCACTTCATCTCCACTTTCAGGACTCCCACTATATTTGATTATACCATTTTCATCAGCATGTGGGAGGATATCACAAATAAAAGGTGATTCAACACCCAAAATATATTCACATGTTTTAGGTTCATACATAAATAAAGCAACTGAACCTGGACTTGCATTGGTTTCTGAGCATTTAAGCTTAACCTGAAAAAGAAGCAAAAAACAATTGCAACTGTAAATGTTGAAATTCTAAGAGAAAGGAATATTAATAAAATGATAAATCGTTATTCTGTTCAAAGGTGAATGTAACAAGTTTTCTTCTTACTTCAGTCTGTCGTGACCGGCCAGTTTTATCACAAATGGTACCACCAGAATACAAATGAGAAACCTGTTTTCTTGACCCTATGGCCTTTGGTCGCTTATGTGGATTTTTTTCCAGCCATTCAAAATGTTTCTCTTTGTTAAATTTTCCTAAATTGAGGACAGTCTTCGTCCCATCTTTTTCTATGTGAAACTGACTAACACTTACACCATAACAAAATTCGTACTTCCACCAACCAGTTCCCTGCAAAAAATTTCTCTGTAAGTAACACATCTTTAAAAAATTGAATTTTCATCATAACTTGCAAAATAAACTCACACCAACAATACAATGCTGTCCTGATAAAAAGCTGTTTACTGCTGATGTATCAGTCAATGGTGGAGCATGAGGAGTTGACACAGGCTCCTGCTCTGTGTCAACAGACACCTCAACTGGATGAATTTCAACCCGCAGTTTTGGAGGTTCGCCATCCTTCGACAGAAAAATACTTTTAGCAAAATGAAATAATTTATACTTCACTACAACACAGAAAGCAAACAAATAAAATTTGAACGAACTTTAAAATTCACTGCAAACCAAAACCAAACAATTTGCTTACAGAGCCCAAGAACCAAAGGTATGAAGTCATTAGGAAAATACATGAAAAAAAAGAAAGAAAGTAGAAAAAATAAAGTATACTTCTCCATCAGGGTGTCCCAAAAAAATTAATCTTTTTTTTCTAACGCATGCCCTTTTTCATTTTTTGTTTGATGTCAAAATAATTGTAAATGTAATTTAGTGTACGTAGGACCGTGGCAACCTGTGCCAACATGCATCGAAACTTGTCGATACTTGCAAACTCAGCCTAATGTAAGCTGGTATATCAACGTGTTAGTAATTACGAACTAATGCAACCTTAGGCAATAACTATGAAGGTTGCCTTTTATGTTTCGGAATTTGGCAACCCTAGTGTGGCAATCTGGCAACTGACAGCTCTATCGTAAAGTTGGATGTTTTGAGGTTATACGTACTCAGAACGTTTTGATATACGAGCACTATTTGTGTTGTTTACAGTAACTTAAAAGATTCATCTTGGCTCAAAAATGGAAATCACGAACATTTTCGTGGGATTATTTTTTACAGCTTTCGACGTGGATTAACTCAGCAACAGTGCATGGATGAACTTAATTCAGTTTTCGGCGATGAAATTCCATCAAGGGCCAGTGTTTATCGATGGTATGGTGAATTCAATCGTGATCGTAGTTCACTCCAAGACGAATTTCGCGAAGGTCGTCCAAAATCAGTTGTTATTCCGAAACAAATTGATGCTGTGCGTGAACTGATATTGCAAGATCGTCATGTGACCTATCCTGAGATTGAGACAACCTTAGGCATTAGTGGGACCAGCATACATTCAATATTGCATGAACATTAGACTGTCAAAAAAAATTGTTCGCGTTGTATCCCACACAATTTGTCAATCGCTCAAAAAAGGGCTCGTGTCGATTGGTTGAATCGGTTGAAGAATCGGTTGCTGCATTCAGAATGCATGTTTTGGAGATACCTCAGAGTGGCAAAAGTGCTTCGACAATTGGTTCAAACGCATGCAAATGTGTATAGATCTTCATGGGGAATACTTTGAAAAACAATAAAATGATGTTTGATGATTAATATTTGTTTTTGTTCTCTAATCCTGAAATATAAAAGACAACCCTTGTATTTTATTAGTAAACGCTTTGTTTTCAGTCACCATATCATTGGAATTATGCAGTTCTAAAAACAGTATATTTTTTAAAAGGGGACATGAAAGATCAAAGAATGGGTTCAAAACGTCTCTCAAAAAACTAAGAGGAAAGGGCACACCTTGGAAAAATTAAGGAAGAAAAACAGTATTTTAAGTATTTCTCCAAACTATCTGCAATGACATCATCTTATGAACCCTTTAAAAAACAATTCAGCTTCTGATTCTAACAAAATATGGATTTGTAAGCAGATTTGCAAATGCTGATCAAGAACACACGACCTGGACCAAATCCAAGTGGAAAGATTTAATTATTCCAAAATTAGTAGCAGCACTTGTTAGGTGAGAAGTATGAGATATTCCATGTATATTCTTGTGGCTACCATTGAGGCACATGGACTGAAGAATTTTCATAGGAAAAGACAGAGTGAGCTAGCAGAAACCATAAAAGTACACAAAAATCAAAAGAACCTGTTTCGATCATTATTTCATATGGAAATAAAGAACAGCTATTGCTGTACGAAGATTGGAAAGCTCTTGAGGAAGCAAACATGTGCAAGCTGTTTAGAATGCATTAGCATTTAGAATGCAATTGTAGACTAGAATCATGAAGATAAAGTGCAAATTCTTTCAATTTCTAAAGTGCATGCTGCTAGAATCAAAATCTTATTAGGAAATGTTAATTTTTGCTTGTTGCCATTGTGTGTATGAATTGGTCTTCAAAAGTGTGTTCCTAGGGAAATTCAGTCAAGTGACTACAAATCCTGATAGTCCATTCATCAAAATTTTCAAGATAACTGGATGTGTTATTCCTGATAAAACACTATGTAAAGTCAAGCTTACAATGAGCCTGCTTGATTCTACAATGCCAATAGGCTTCCGTTTTTCCAACTTGAACTTGCCAAAGAAATATCTATGATGACTATCTAAAGTTGACAGAACTTCATGATTATGTTTTTAAGAGGAGACAGAGAGAAAAGTTCAAATTTGACCTTCAGGAGCCCCATACCATGTTCAAAGGATGGCAAGAACGATTTATTCCGTTAAAATGCCATTGTTTAGTGTTCTATTGAATATTACAAGGATAAGGCAGCTGTTAGATGTCTGCCTGTTCATTGCCACATCCCACATCAAGCCATGGATCAATGCATTTTGGCAGTAAAAGCACCTTGCCAAGATGAGGGCTTTTCAAAGTCAATAAAGACTTATGAAAAGGTTTATAACAGTATCAAGATTTGTGGACCAAGAAAAAGTAAAAATTTGTCGAAAATTTAACCAATGAAAATGTATTGAACTATGGTAAACATTACATTCTATGCAGAAAAAACTTTGTGGTCCATTACATGAGAAAATCATATACGACTTCATTTCAGTCAAAAACAATTTATTGTTGGAACATCTTAAAATTAATGACAGTTTTCTCTACAAATGCTCTACTTTGTGGCCAAACACTGCTTCATTTGAAGAAGCTAGAAAGGTTTCAATGCTTAGGTCAGTGAACAATTCAGCTGAAAGAGCAGTCAAGTTGATGCAAGACTCATAGTTTAATTATAGTTAAAGAGGAACAGAAGCAATTTTTATAACATTGCATACAAGAACATCAGAAGGTTTATCCTTCTGATAAAAAGAAAACTTTGAAAGAAAATTTACAAAATATTAATTTCTAAATATTAAGTTGGTATATGATTTGGACATATTCATGCTTTATTTACCAAATAAACATGAGTTCTAGAATCCTTCCTTATTAACTTAATACAAATGTTCATGTCTTATGTTTGGCATCAAGTCAGCAGGGATTATCCTTATCCAATTCCAATAATATTATTTGAGTTTTGAGATCAAACAGAAAAAATATATAAGATATTTGTATCTGATTTCACACAAAAAAATATCTCCCTTACATCTTGGGACACCCTATTCTCCATTGACTTATTGTTTGCTAAAATGTTACACACAAATCAAGGCAAGGTTTTTTCTATTTAATGATAAGAAATATACGACTTAGTGCCAGCACTAGTGAGTTGCGGTAAAGTACATAGTTCGGTGTTTGAAGTCATGAAATCTCGGAGATTGTGTCTTGAAAGAGCATCTTTTCAATTGATTTTCAGGTTGATGTCTGCCAAATAAGAGCCAAATCTTTTAAATTCACTGATTAAATAATAACACTAATTCACCATCATTATTGCCATCACTTCAATTTTTCTCTCTTTCATAGGGCAAACAGGCAAACTTGTAAGCTAGTAAAATCCTTCCATCATGTTACAAGTGATAAAATGGGTTGTTTCTTAAGACATGACATTTTCAATAGTTATTAATGAGCGTCATGTTAACCATTAATTGGGAAATTTCCCAGACAAATTTCCTAATAACACTTAAGAATGAGGAAATAATTTGGTAAGAAAACACACATCCAAGTCATGCCCAATACAATAATGAGAGAATGAATCATCTCATCACGCCCAATAGAGAAATGTGTCAATGTCTTATTGCATTTAACCCACTAATGCCAATGAAGCTGAATTTTCAAAGCAAGATGACATGCAAACTTGTCAAGCTCTAAACACAAAGCACATTTTCATGATGACTTGACTTTGCCATGTCCAATTAATAAATTAATAATAAAATCCACCTTGTTATGTTAACATAATATAAATATTTCATTAAACATATATGTTGCCAATACAAATAGACTCTAGATATCCCATAACAATTAAAAACAGATAAATATTCAGTTATGGACTTACTAGCTTATTCCACCTCTTTTATGACTGATGGGATCAGGGCAAACGTCTCCACCATAACTACTTGACATCCAAAGAAGGAAGTGATGTAGCTAACATAGTAATTTCATATTATGATTAGGACTAGCTCTAGATTTAGTGACACTATTTGGGAAATACTCAACACCGTCTCTTAGTCATTACACATTCTCTTTGTCCCAATGCTGTAGAACGAGCCCTGCTATTCTCAAAGTGATTCTTTACCCTTTGCACTCTTAACACATCCCTGAGATAACACAGCTCTTTCTACTCGTGTGCCTACAAGGAGTATGTTGCCCTATATAGGTCAGAGGGCATCTCTGAGATGACACGAGAATGGCAAGTAGACTCAGAGGGTTTGCCCACTCTACACAAATCAGCTCAACTTTTTTTCGGGTGACACAAGCAGAAGCCTCCCATTTTGGTCTACTGGCATTATATTTTAAACAATATTGAACTCATCCTTAATTTTTTTTGCTATGACTTCATAATGAACCACATTTCAAATAATTTGTTCTAAAAATGAGAGAATCTTTCCTTTAATTTGGAAAACCACGTTCCAAATCGCAGAACTTTTAGTACTTAAATTTCCTGACTGTATAATTTAAGAAATAAATATCTCAACACAATGCAAAACAGAATCAATGCTATTTTTAACACAAATATTAATGTCTACAGAAATTGTTATTACATTCTAATCTCTCTTGAATTATTTGAGATGTGAAACAGCTCAAAACATTCACCTGTGTGGAGGGGCGGATTGTGCCATGACACGTTTGACACAAATAATAATTTATAGTCTTTCTCTTCTGTTTACTGTTACTACAGATGATGACTGTATTTATTTTCATAGATCATCTATTTATGGTTCAGAATGCTGACTCATTGTCAATGGAGATCTTTCTGTTGACTTCCAATTGACATTTTTTGTCTTTTAAAATCAATTTTCTCACAGTCCTGTAGTGAATGGGATGCTTCTATAATGTGCGACATTTTTTTCTCACAGACAATAATTGCCTGTGATTAATAATCAATAGATAGTTTCACCAATAACACAAAGAAACAAGGAATAACACAACGCTGTTGTAGGTGATATGGCAGATGGTTTGAATTTCATGCCTGGAAGTAACATCTAAATCCAAATTACAGAACGATTTTTGTTACAGAAAAACTGGATCTGCCATTCTTTGTGAAATTTAACAAAGAATATGAGGTATTTTTGTTGTGTAGCTTCCAAATATCCTTTTTATATCATACTAATCTACTTGGTGCACCATCAAAACTTGCACTTTTGTTGTTGCTGTTTATGTGCATGTGTGGCGATAAGGGGCTTCCCAAATTTACTAAGGCAAGGCTGAAGAGGTCTGGGCCCCATTGGTGCCTAGGCATGGAAAGGTAACAAAGCGAACCTTATCAGTTTTACTGAATTATGGACTTGTATTGAATGAAGAAATAAATAATTTATGTTTTATCATTCCAGTTGGGGACAAAACATTTTTTAAAGAGGTGAAATCTTCTAAAAATGGGAATGTAAAATGGGAATCTTGCCTAAAAATGGGAATGTAAAGGGGGTAATTTTACTGTTATATAGAAAAATGCAATATTTTCATGCAAACAATTTTTATTTGCTGGCAAGACACTTTAAAAAAATTCTTGTTTATTTATTTTTTGGTTATTATAAAAGGCAAACTGTTTTATCAACAATCTATCAATAGTCCACAACTTCTGATGCCAAGTAAATTTCAACAACACCATTTGGTAAATGCTGTTAAGAAATAGATGATATTGAAATGGAGAAGACAATGAAAGTGTTGATTGTGAGGCTAGAAAAAACATTGCCTTTTTCATATGAAGGACAAACAAGGCCATTGGCATGACAAATAGTAACATTAAGGTTAAACCAACCACCAGACAAACCAAAGCAATTCCCCAGGAAACTGACATGCAAATGCTGCAGCAAGACCCGACATCTGATACAAGGAATATTAATGCTCAAAGACAAATAACTTAAGCATTTGTGCAAAGCACATGCATGATGCCAGAAAACGTTAGTAGATGACTGTGGATAGGTTGACTTTGGTGTACTTAAGAAAAAGATATGACCAACCTGACCCTCCCCACTCCTGTCAATGGAGAACACAGCAAAAACTTGCTGCAACTTTTCATCCTGTAGAAGATATTGTTTTCAAATTACAATAAAACTGAATATATCTTTTCATGATAATTAAATAAACTAAAAGGAAAATAAAAAACAAATAAATAAATAATAAAAAATAAAGAATGATAACAAAAAATTTCTCTGACAAAAGCACTCACAGATATTTTTTGCTGTTTCAATTTCAAACTTTCAGCTTCCAAAGCCAGTAATTCTTTTGGTTTTTTTGGCGAACCTTCCAGAGAATGGCAATTAATAATATTTTCACCAGATTCCTGAGGCCTGTGAAAATACGTTAATGTTTAAATTAGAAAAGCAAGTAAGAAAATTTACAAGAATTTCTCTTTAGATATATAATACTCAGATTCATATAAATTTCATTCATGTCAAAAGGTTTGCTTCATGAATGGCGTAAAGAGTACTTCTTCATAAATTCAACAGAGTTTGCCTTAATGAAAATGTGTATATTGCCAAATGTAAGATTTTTTCATTTTTCCAAATTAGTACGAATGAAGGATAAAAACACAACAATGAAAAATCATAAAGAAAATTTACAAGTTCTATTAGAAAAGTATCTGACCTTTGGCAGGAGAAAAAAAACTTGCATACCAGGAGCAATGGAAACCTAATCACTCTCAAAGTAGTTTCCAAGGAACTCTACACATGGTGCTGCCATTGTTGAAAACATCCCAAGAAAGTCTCTTTTAGAATGGAGTTTAGCTCAGCTGTAGTTGCAGCCATAAAGTCTCTTGTCCAATATCGCATTTCTTCCATTAGCCTCTTGAGTTCGAGGTTGCCAGAAGTTGCAGTGGGCCATATCAGGAGAGTAAGGAGCCTGTTGAACCACAGGAGTCAGGTTTTTTGCGAAAAATGTCTGAATCAAATCTGAGGAATGTGCTGGAGCATTGTCATGATGGAGGTGCCAATTTCCTGTTGACAACAACTCTGGTCTCTTGTGCTGCATAGCATAACATCGACAGAGTCCATCTCTGAAGGACTCTTTGGTGCTGCATACTCACGGTGTACCACACCACAGGACTCAAAGGAAGCTCTCAGCATAAATTTGATGTTGCTGTGCACATGACTGACCTCCGTTGGTCTTGGTAATATGGAATGCTTCCACTGTGGTAACTGAGATTTGGTTTCTGGATCGTACCCATACACACAGGGCTCGTCACCAGTGATTATGGTGTTCATGAAGTTGGGGTCACTGTCTGTTGAGTCCAGCATGTCCCGTGAGACTTCATCATGAAGCTGCTTTTGATCAACCGTGCAAATAAAAATTGGGGAGAGTAACGCACACCAGCTCACTCAAATACTGGCTGTTAGCAACAGATGATATTGACAGGGAGGAGAAAATGCACGCATGTGCATGAAGGTTCAAGGTCAGTTTATGCAAGTGTGCTTGATGCCAATCAATCAGGTTTTCGCAAAATAAAATTAGGTCAGATACTTTTCTAACAGACCTCATATGTGGGCCTTCAATGTCCTCATTACAGGTTTAAAGAAGTTTCTTTTTTATGTGTATGTAAATGATCTCACCTACTTCTAAAGTGTTAAACAGACATTATTATAGCTTAATTATTGATCAGTGAATTGGCATTCCCAAAATTACAAAACAAATGAATTCTAATTGTACAAATCATTAGACACCCTGATGTGAAATCCAAGCTAGGTCAATCAAATAAGATGACAAGGTATGGTGACAATCCAGAAAACAAATGAAATTCAAGAAAAGAATCAATCAATTCCAATAACTTAATGAAATTGAAATTTATTTTAAAAATGTTTGACATTAATAACGTACTTGTATTTCGGATGTTTACATAGATGTGGAGACAATACTACCACCTCATATTCACAAATGGAGGTCTCCTTTAAAGATGAAATCTCATGTTTACCATGTGCGTAGCAAACATATAACACTCTTGTAAATCTTGGCTTCTTATTAACGTCACATATGGTCCCATCTGTCATATTTATTTGAAGATATGGCATATTCATTCCATCTATCTTTTTCATTGGTACATTCTCGGATGATGATTTCATTTTTTCAAGCTCTTCATCTGTAAAAGAAAATAGTTCAAAAACTTGAATGATGCTTCATATTATACTTTCTTCACCTAGCATGAATGACTCCAAATTAAATACAATATTCCATCTTGGAGATGGAGTAGCACATGGCTAGAAAACTTAACTTGATTCACATCAACATTTACGATCAATTGCAAATATCTTATTGTAAGTAATGTAATGTAAGTATGTATGTAACTATGTAAGTAATCGAACTACTAAGGTGAAGTATCCGGTAGAAATAACAGATTTTAATTTCTATCTCGTTTTTCTCACTTACACATATACAAACATTTTTTGCGGCCTTATATTATCATCACCATTGTCACTATCACTGAGGTCACCCAGTGGTCTCTAAAATACAAAGATTGCAGAACATTGGAAGCAATAAAAAAGAAATTCCTTTAATATGTCTCTGGGGGTAACATGTTGGGCAGAGAAAGAAATGTTGACATTTGGACAAGACTTAAAACAATAACTATTGTAGAAGAAATAATAGAATATCAAAATAAATAGTTAGTACATCAAGAATTAAAATCTCCCAAAACTAGCATTAAAATACCAATCAACATAGAGAGATATTGGAAGACAAAATAAAGGAGAGAACCAGAATATCTGTTAGTATAAAGCATCAGGTGGAGAGTATAAACAGATAGCAATTACTGTAACATCCTGCAGTTGAAGATGCTTAGGTAGATGATATTTATGCCCTAAAAATCTTAATATATGCCTTTAAAAATGTGCATTTATGACCTAAAAATTCAGAAATATGCACTTTAATATGCAATTAAAATGATTATTTCATTTCCTCTAAAAACTTTTTCGATAAAATTCTGAAGATGCATGCTTGGAATGAAAATATATATTTTTGTACAAACATAATATTATCTACTCTACTGCACAAGAGAAATAATTGAAGTAATTATTCACCTTAGTGAAGTACATTGTATGTCTTGTTGAATTTCTTCTGATTGGTTAAAAAAAATGTTGCCAAGAAATATCCTATATTTGCACAAGTATTTATCATCTATTAAAAAGAAAAAAATGCACACTGTGACAAGCTCTTTTGAATCAATGAACACTCACAAATAAATAGATTCTATTTAAAGATGAAACGTTTTGTAGAACTTTCTACAGTCCAACCTCGATATCTCCAAGCGTCTCCAGAGAGAAATGTTTCTTCAACTTATCAATAATTCGAGATATCAAAATAATACTTTCTTGTAAATTCACTGCTCTTAAAGTCCTCAACATCTAAAATCTGACAATGAACATACCAAACGTATCTAATCCCTTCAGAGCTTCTGAGGCAGAGGGTGGTTTAGAATCACACTATTCCTTCTACCATCATGGAATTTAAAATTTCTTTGTTATGGTTAGTGTTCAATGAGAAATGGCTCGGAGTATCTGGATTTCAAGACATGAAAACAAACTTCAGTTTCTTCGAGTTAAAAGTATGATTTCACTCGGGGGAAGAAGATATTCTTTAGAGTTATTGAGAACTTCATAGTATCAAATTTCATGTAAAATACCAAATACATGTCTTACATGTAAAATACATGTTATGCAGACAGGAATGAAAAATTGCTTCGACATATCAAAAATTTGAGTTATAGACGTTCAAGTTATCAACCTTTGAGCAATCGGTGTTCGAGTTATCGAGGTTTGACTTATTTGAATGAAATTGTGCCTGTAATTACACAACTATGCACCTACAGGAAAAATCTGCCAAATATGTGCAAATATATTAATCTATATAGAATCATATTCTAACCAAATTCATGAAACTTCACTTAGTTATGAACTGAAGCAATGATGATATTTATACATGTTTTGTAAAACAGAATGGAGCAAGAGTTTTTCTGTCAACAAATTGCCAATTTTTGTTGCAGCATTACAATGATCTCTTTACTTTGTAAGCGTAGTAAGATAAGAAAGTAAAACATTAGTGCAATTTTGACTGATGCATAGTATAAATGAACTCACAAAGTTTTAATTGCTGTACACTATCCCATTTTCCAAGATAATACTCCTGCTGCTTCACTTTCTTTCCTTCTCGTTCTTCATGGTACTGTCGAATATGCCGCCCATGACAAAGTTCATATTTCCAGAAGGATTCGATCTGTAAAATAAGTTTAAAAAATAACTCAAAATAATTGCACAATTACATTAATTAATTCATTTAATTATTTCCATTATGAAATACCCCACAGAATAAAAGTAATTTTTATACAGTTTACAAAATTTACCTTTAAATAACATATGCAACAAATGAAAAATTATTTCAATTTTCTGAGTGTTTTTTTATTGCATGAACATCCTTACCTGTTGTATCCCCTAGATAATGCAGCTTCTACAGTAATGTAGGATTTTCCAATCAAGTAAATAAGTTACATAATAATCCCAGTGAATCATTATTCAATAAAAATATTTGTATTTAATGCTTATAATTTTGATCCTAATTCTTTAGTTTAATTAAGGAAGGAAATATGAACAATAATCAGAATTTCACACTTACTCGATAATAACATGAAGAAGGAGATTGAAACACAGGTGCAAGTAATTCCAAAGGATTTGGGCCATCATAATTTTCTTCATTATTCTAAAACAGAACTTCATGTTATTCACATAGAATGAAAGATTACACAAATAATTTATAAAAGGACAATACAAAATTGACTAATTTTTATTGCTAGATAAATGACACACAAGTCAGTTGTTCTTAAAACTCTTTAAAAACCAGTGGTAAACTTGTGGTACTAAAAACTACTTTTTCATATTATGCGTAACAGTTATACAATATATTACAACTTGTACTAATACTTCTTCTTTCACTTGAAAAATTCTCCTCCAAACGAAGAATTGTGATTAAAAAAGACATTCCTTTAATTTTCAAAAATTCAAGTTTCATGAATCTTGTTGACATTTTTGTAGAAAACATCTCTAGTTAACTAAAAATTACCCCCAAACTGAAAGAGCTGGACACGCGTAAACCGATCAGCCAATTTTCTCCAAAATTGATATTCCCCAATCGATCTGGCTAATGTCGCGGCTCCTTGAATTTGAGGCCGATATATCAATTTTGGGGGTACTTTACATGACGCCCCTGGAGCATTTTCAAAATGTTCAAAAAAGTGGCGCCATCAATTTTGATGAAATTTTGTAGTTGGATAGTCTGAAGGACGTTTAAGAAAATGGCGTGGGTCTCATATTGTTTAAAAACCCAGATTTTTCGATAATTGGAGGGGGAAAAAAGGAGGACTTCCTTCAACTACAATATTAAAGATGGACATTTTTTCTCTTAATAAGCTCTGTTCCTTTAAGATAAATTTTGAAATAAGGTCATGTACAATTTTTCAACAATTCGAGAATTTTTTGCAAAATGTTGCATGAAATGTAGGTGTTTTTTTTTTGGGGGGGGGGGATAGTTGGAGTAATTTTTACAGTATCTAAATTTCTATTCGTTATATTAGCTTCAAAGATCACTTTATTTCAAGGTTTCATCATTTGCGAGATAAGTCAGATTTGGCCATTTATAAATAATAACAGAATAACACAAATGACAAAAATGAATCAATTCTATGAAAGTATTTATTTAAATATCTTATTTAAAATATTGTACATCATCAGTTGCTTAACTAAAGTTTCTGAACATTGATTGTCAATGTATCAATTCAAGTTAATACACATTTGTTTTTGAAATCTTATTTTATTTTTGAACTCATTTAATTAATAATGTCAGAAACAGTTTTACTCTGTATATGACATTTTCAATTGAGAAGGATAAATGCTTGAATTTGAATGTATTGAACTTGAAAAGGCAAGGGAGCCAAAAGATATTACAGTAACAAAAATACTCCCAATTGTGATTTCATCAATAATATAATCATTAAGATTAAGTTTTAAATTGGTTGTCACAATATATTTCTCTTTAATTGTTGTTCAGTCCCTCTTTGCAAAGTTCAATAAGTAAGTTCCATTACACCTTCAACTTTGCAATGACCCAATTTAAACATTAAACTGTAATGTGGCTGGACTGCACTCCACCATTTATTTTAAAATTCAGATATGTCTCTATAATTTGTAGATATTGCATATATTTTTGTATACATTACTAGCAGTATTCTAGTTATAACATCAGGTGACCTTACATTAAATTGGGTACAGTATATATTTATTTGTTATTTTTGTAATTTTGTGAAAATAAATTTGGCTTCATTGAAATATTTTTATTATAAATGTTCCGTTATATCTGATGAGGGAGACAGAACAGTCTTCGAAACATCGTAAAAATAGTACACAAGTGAATAAAATTATTATGTACAAGTTTTTGGCAGTGTTTAATGTGGTTGGCCATAATTTTAAGAGGGACTGAACAACAAGTAAATAATATAATCAACAGCAAGAGATGTACAAAGAAAATAATTGGAATCTACTCAACTATTAAGCTGTTTTTGATACCCACTTTTTGTATATTAATGAACATGATGTCAAATAATGTCAGACTGGCAGTTATTTTATAGGAAAAAATTATTTATATTTACAAATAGTTTTGTTGATGATTTCTTTAAATGTTAGATATTTGTCGACAAAGCGGTAATGTGCTAAATACACAGCTCCGCATGTTGAAATAATTTCTGCTAATACTTGTTGAGAAAATATTTTTTTATCTAATTTAGATTTCTTGAGAAAAGAACTATTTTGGAACAAGGAAAAATTATTTATCATACAACTTCTTGCAGAAGCAATTTAATTTTCAGTGTATTGTTTTGGCATTACATGTGGAATAAAAAAACAAAAAAACATTCTGACAATTTACAGAAATTTTCCGTCAGTTTGACAACAATTTAGAAAAATGTGCATTATTAAGAATGGTAGCATCTCAAAAAATGGACATTGGCTGGTCACTGGCAGGCAGTTACTTGTAAATGAAGTTAGTTTGCAGAAATCACAAAAAAGGATGATTTCGCTTTGTTGCGATTTCACCTGAGCATGATTACCTCGAATTCTGCACAAGTTAAAGAACTTATGAACTGTCTCATCCACAGATATGATAGTTAACTGGGTAGGAGACAAGATATTCAAACTTAAAGGGGAAATTGAACATTGGCAAAATAATTGGAATTGGCAAAAAATCTACCATGTCTGTAATTTTTCAAACTCTGCTCTAGAAACTCTTGAAAGCTGTTTATATACAGATTCCATGAGTATATCAATTAGTTTTCAAGAGAATAGGTCTGCTGAGAGGGGAGTGCAGATACTGGAATGATCTTATCATAATCATATCTCGCAGAACTGGTAAGAAAGGTTGACGGTGGTTGAGCGGTATCATGGGAGAAGGCAATGCTAGAACGGTACATCCGTTAGTTGAAAAATGCCGATGTGAAAGAAATTGAAGGTTACATTTTTCTCACAGCGAAAGTAACGGTGGGTTAAATATTAGGAGGATTAAATGTACAACATTATAATATTACGAGGTCGATAACAATTATACGAGAAAGTAAGTGCTAATAGAGAGTTTTTTCAAGACGATAAATCAAGTCGTAATACATAATAACTAGGGGAGGGGGGATTTTGATGATATAAACCATTGCCAAAAATGATCAATAAAATGCTCTTAAAAATGCCCTCAAACAAAGAAATATGACGTAATTTTTTTATCAACACCACTTTAGATAAACAACTCAAGCTGCTGGTTATGTTCGGTGATGTTACTGATGTAATCGGGGCTTTTTCCTTTTGTCCAAGTGAACTCAGCTCGCAAACTTTGGGTTTTAACTATTCTATAAAGGGAAATCTCTGCCTTAATTGATCGCGAAATCGGCCGAACTCAAAATGGCTCCGAAAAGCGTCACAGGAACTTTGGATTACGTAGTAGTCACAACGGCTGATATTACAATGTATGAGCGAAGAAATCGAATAGGCTACTCAGGAATTTGTGGTGAACATTTGTTGCATATCGTAAACATTGTTTGAAGAAAGTACCATTAAAATTATATTAAAATTGATTAAATCGGCGATAAATGCAGTAAAAATGACGTAAAAATGTAAAAAAATGACTTATTAGTCGAAATCGACGAAAAATGCAAAAAAGACGTATAAAAATGGGTCATTTCAAGCGAAGAAGAAAGAAAAGACATTTCATTAAAATCCGTCCCCTAGTAACGACTGTTAATAAGAAATAACGTGTCATCAAGCAATTAGTTTTTCTGTGTCGTACAATCGTAAGCATACGTTGTAATAGGAAATACAGAAACCCACTATCAGTACCTGAACGCTATTACTCAACATATGCGTGTTGATATATCTTTTGTCTTGATTTTTGCTTTCATAAGGATTAGCCTACGAGACAGTAATATAATACAAAAAAATCTGATTGCATCATGTCATTACGTAAGCATTTATATCTCCGAAGAAAATTGTAGCTATTACCCGCGCACGTTTTCTTGAGCCCTAATATCGTTGGATACGGGAAGGGGGGTTGGTTATTTCGACAACAGGACTATTGTATTGTATTAAAACTGTAGCTCGCTTTTTTGCAGCAAAATAGTTTCCTTTACACGGGAGCGAACATCAGAATCAGAGCGGTCATCTGAATGTCAACAACGCTGGATGTATTTTTTTTAATTAATAAATTCAACCAACGTTAGTAACGGAGTAGAGGTAGCAATTCCCAGGCTCAAGAAAACTTGTCAAACGGGATATCCAATGTCGTAGTGCGTAAACATTATCGTCCATAAGAAATAACCTTTATCTTCATAAAAAAAAAAGTGTTTTTGCAAGTCGTACAATCGAAAAGCAACGTTAAAACTAGGAACTAATTGGAACTGATTACCTCGAATAGGACCTAAAAGCTTTTATTGAACATTTCTGTATCTATCTATTTCTGGGTCTATTTATGCTTTTATAAGCTTTACAAGGCAGTAAAACGTGTCATATATGAAATCTGATTGTATCAGACGAATATACATGTCTTTATCTCAAAGAAAACTATCGCTTCGTGGATAATCTTAGAATGTATGCCCGCAATTTTACTGTAACATTTATATTGTTTATATTAGGAATGGAAAGCCATGTGAACTATTTTTTCGTGACAATCAGTGTAGCTTCAATATACACATAACCAGCAAAATCCTAAACAATTACGTTAGTTTATTCCTGGCATATTTTAATTAACTTGAGTAAAAATTAACCATTAAATTCCTGCCATATTGTATTCTTTGTATATTGGTACTATGGATATTGTACTTTTCATTACATCCATGCTCCCTGTGTGTCATTGATGAATTCGTGTTTAGTGGTGGCAACGGAAACGTAAAGTGCAAGTTATGAACACATTTGGCATAAACAACAAAACAGGGAGAATCATGGGACGCGTCAATAAAAATCCCGTCAATTGATGTCGGCAAATGCGCACTACAATTCTCCCCAGAATTGTCGTCTTTCACATCCACGACTTGCAAAAACTCTTTATTAGTCGGGTACTGTCAAACGGTCATATAAAACCCCGTCATTGGATGCCAGCGCTTGCGCAGTAGAATTCTCTTCGAAATTCTGTTACGTCTTTCAAATTCACAACTTGATTTGATTTATTTTGATAAA